GGGGGGGATCACCCCGAGGCACCAGCCAGAGCAATTATCGCGGGCAATTTCTTCACACCACTCTGCCACGTCTTGGACTGCCTACTTCGCGTTTTCGCACAACATGGTGAAGCCACAACGTATAATGCACGCTGAGGAAGCCGAGCAACAGGCATACGGAGGACATGGCCTAGCCAACGTTAGCGATTAAGATTCAGCAAATGCTCGAGTGAAGCATCAGAACGCTCCTTACCAAAAACCAACTGGCTGACCTCAACACTGTTCACCCAGTGTTCCAACCGGAAGTGAGCAATACCTCACAAGCACCGGTGATCCAACACGGTCAAGCGTTTATTGTCGTCATTGCGAAATGGCCATGTCTCTGATTCATACAGTAACACTGGTCATATTGCAGCGTTATGCACCCTACTTTTCACTGGCAAGCTGATATCCCGCCGTCTCCAGAGATGTTTGAGCCTCTGGAAAGCCATTCCGGCTTTGCTGATAAGCAAAGTAACTTCCTCAGCAATGTGGCCACCAGAAGTGACACAACTACCAAGCTAAATGACTCTATCCACCACTTCCAGTGGTTGTTTGCAAATAGCCAAAACTGGAGGTGTGTCAAACCAGTCCTGCAACAATACTCTGAATGTAGAAGGTGCAAAGCACATGCCAACCGTGCAGCGCTACGCACAAGATGGTGCAGTAGTGTTCGCATAGCCACTGCTTCAGACCCAAGGAGAGCCATGTGGTCCGCATACTCCAGTTTTGTCAGTCAGTCATTTTTTGTAAAATCTGAAAGAAAAGTCACTCATGATCATTTCGACCACAAAGTTGAAGAGTAAATGATATATATGACAACCTTGGTCAAACCCACTTGTCGTGGGGGAATCAGTAGACAGTTTCCGGTAGACCCTTACACTGTCTCGAAGTCACGGAAGAGAGACTTCAAGTTGGAAAGAAATTTAGCCGGCATGCCCTTCATAGATAGGCAGTACCACAGGACAACAGAGTCGATGGCGGCTTTCAAGTCAATGAAAAGCACAATAGTCGGTCGCCTGTATGTGTATCTTTGCTCTAAAACTTGATGAACAGTAACTACGTAGTTAGTACAACCACGAGCGAAGCGGAAGCCAGCCCGTGATTCGGATCTCACGGGGACCGGTAAGTCGTCGGAGAATGATACCCATGTGAGAAGTTTGGTTGCAACGGTGATTTTCGCACAAAGTACGCTGACCCCTCTTGAAGATGGGCAGGGTAGTTGAGAGATGACAAGGTAAAGGCAGCTCTTCTGTGTTCCAAATCGTGTTAAATTGAGAAGCCAGTCCAGTCAATAAGGAGTCACCGCTATATTGCAGCAACGATGGAGGAAGGTTGTTGAGTCCAGGAGGCTTGTTTCAACACGGAAAGCTCATGTCGAATTTTTTCCAAAGTTGGAGGTGTAAGATCTATTTCCCAAGTCGGCTCAGGCGATTCGGTAAGTGGCATTGTTGCAGCAGACCTGCTGAACAGCTCTACAAAATGTTTTCCCAAGTGGCTAGTCGAGGATGTTGAGAATGGATCAAGTGTCCATCTTTCTCAGTTATTGTCTCTCTAACTGTTGGATTTCTTGGACTCGGGTTCCGGATGAGCTCGAATAAAACTCGGCTGTTCCCGATAGCACTGGTTTTCTCCATCGCACGGGCCCTTGTCATCCAGCAACGTTTGCGGTCAATTAGAAGACTTAGAGTGTTTCAGCTTAAGGAGACGTCGAAACACAGTGCCCATCGGAACCTGTTCCGGTGCTTCGAACAAGCGGATCGATGCCTCAAAGATCCATTCGCGGTTAGTCTCAAGTTGAGTGCACAGCATGAGTAAAAGGCATTTTTCGTACATATTTGAGGCGATCTCAGTAAGCAGTCGGCTCATCAATCTCATTTACCACTGACAGTTGGTGGTCCAGTTCATCATGACATTGCTGAACGTCAGATTGCGAGTTCAAGTTACGAGTGATAAGGTTAGAAAACAGGATCTTCTTGGAGGCGGGAAGGGTGAGCGGCAAGCATGCGCGTCCTAGAGCATGGTCGGAATATAGGTACTTGCTCCAAATTGACCGACAGTCTTGTACTGATGTGGGCTATCTGTAGCTGATGACAATCATTGAGGAATTCGGTGGGCGCCAGGTGACGCGGTGTGAACGCTTATAATGCTAATGTAAAGGTCGTGGTTGGCACTCAATTGCAGGAATCCATCACCAATGTCTGTTAGGCGTGCATCGACTCGGAAGCGGCCTGAAAGGTGTTGTTCAGTCTGAAAAATGGCCCACTTGAACATTCAAGTCTGCAGCAAGAATCACGATGTTAGTGTTCTTCGCTATTCGAAGAAGACATGAGAGCTTGTTTAATTCCGCTTGGTTCAACAAGTTTGTACCGTGCATTGAGATGCAGCAGATACGTTTGACGCAACACACTGTCAAACTAATGATAACAAGCTGAGAGAACTGACTAGAATTTGAAATCGTCAGGTGAAGTTGTCAAGGATTAGAAATGAGAAGAAGAATTCAAAAGAGCCATTGACTACGTGACTGTGCCATATCCCATAAAGTGTCCAATCGTTCGTATGGCTGACCTCATGGAACTCAAAAATGAGGACCACAAGTACCAACCCGGATCGGCTTTTCTCTCTTCCTCTTTTCACTTTTTCTCTTTAGCGATGTCATTGATTTGCACCCAAATACGCGCAGTGTTGTCAAGCAATACACTAAGTGGTAGGTCACTGACTGATATGTTGGGCACATGATCAAGTCAGTGGAGGCGATCCGAGTTCAACAGATACTCTGGAGAAAGGCTTTTGCCAAACAGCAACTACCGTAGCACTCACTCGTTTCTCTATCTAGGTACGAGCAATACTTCATCGGCATCAGTGATCGATGATACGATCAACCGCGTTGCGGTTACATCTGATCCACATCATAACACTGGATTTACCGCAGTGCTGCAAGCCCTATCCTAAGCTAGTATACTCATATCCCAGAATAACGATGAGTGACCGAGGCTATGAAGTCACATAAGCCTAAGGAGTATGTGCAGTCATACCCCTGTAATATGGTCATCTGAGATGATACCGGCACACAGAGAAGGAAAACGATTGATAACTAAGGGCATCGACTTGCTGATAGTAAGAAAGAGTTGCGTGTCGGCTCAATCATGTGGTCAGAGGGTGTAAAATGCATGTCGAAGCGTGTAGCGCTACGAGCCAGTCAATTTGGTGGCGATTGAATAGCAGCTGATTTCGATCCAAAGTGATCTACATCTTCAGAGTAGTTCACATTGGACGGTCGACAGTCCAGCAAAACATCGACCTCAGGGGAAGTAAGAGGAAGCAGGAGAGTTATACATGTTCATTTCGATTACCAAGCTGGGGAGAAATAAAAAGATACACTCTACTTGCTGTAGTGAACTCAGGCACAGCCCTTAGGAGCTTGACGAAATTGCGGTGTTAGTTGCAAAAAATTCAACACCAAGATAAGTGAAGGTTCAAAGGAATTATTCGGGCAGGCTTTCTCCGAAGAGAAACACCATAATAAATAGGGACGGCCAAAGGAATCAGAATTAGCGTTCAAGTCGAGAAATATTATTATGATTGTTCATGATAATGGTGAAGTCATATCGCTGGTGGGAGGGTTAAAATGTGGTCAGTGAGAGCTTATGTGTAAAGCTAGTCCCATTAGTGACATGAAAAAGAGAGTTGTGTGATGATCATAGTGATCAGCCAAAAGATTGGAACAAGCGCTACGGCAATGAATACTTGGGTGAGCTGCACTAAAACGACGCACTCATGAAAAAGAGGGTTATATGTCACCCGTTTCGTTGTGATGGAAGCCGCAGTGTTTCGACTCAACCGTGTAGCTGTGATATTCTATAGCGGAACGTTTTGTACCGCACTATATCTGCGTGCATCGTCAGCGCAACGCAACCGTTTGGCAGAGCCTCACTGGAAAAAATGGTTCCGTAGGATATTGGCCCCAAATATGAAGTGGATCCTGATCGTCAACATGGTAGAAAAAGTGGCCGCAGTGTACTAGTGGTTGCACATAGGTTGCGTGAGAGCGAACTCGAACGCAGTACATTAAAGCTGCAAGTAGAATACTGGAAATCCACACCACGGGGTCTCTCGATATGCAGCGGACGGTCGTCGGTGTGGTACGGTCAGTCTTTTGAGTCATAGCTAATCGATTAATGCATGCAGACGACAATCTCGGGGGAAAATGACCTACTAAGTGTTGCGAGAAGTTAATGACGCATATGGTGAGGTTGCGACTTAGTGGATGCCTAAATTGTGATAATCAAAAATGAACGTAGAAAAAATAAAGTATTCAGCATTTCCAACACACGCGTCCCCAAGTATTTTGCCCATCTCATTATGGATTTGAAAAATCTCAGGCAGCTTGCTAAACCACACTGGCTGTAAGTTTGCGCAGATGGCGGAACATTTCAATGGCGGTACACACCGGCAACGTTGAAAAACTTCGAGTTATAGCCGGCACATGGGAATGGGACGTACACGCCTTCCGTCACGTCTCACCTTCACTGCTGTATCCATACATCAGAGGAGGTGCATATGGAGGCTCAGTAGCCCACGCGATCCACTAATTGTGGCTGGTATACGTACGATGTTGTAGTAATGAAACACTGAGCAATTTTGGTAACTACTGTCAGTCAGAGCTACCCGATGCTAAAAGCGTGGACAGCGCAACGGATTTCAACAGCTAGAGAAAATTGCAGCAGCAAAAATGCCCCAGAACTCCACGGAAAAGTAACAACATCTTGATGAACAAAAGTCACATGCCCACAGTCCCTTTCAAAATAGGGGTTCATACCAACTGAGTTAGCAGCGTGAAGAACCGGTGATAGTGTGAGCGAGCATAGCGCTGTGGGTTTCGGTCAGCATAAGATGCAATACAGGACAAAGTGATAATGACAGAGCCAAGTAAAAACTAGGCGCATTGCGACAAACAGTGAAAACAGACAAGGAAGACTTACACTCCTGTTTAAAGGTGAAGTATTCTGTCAAATGGCGGCATTCGTGGTTCCCGCGAAGGAGGAAAAATGTGTTCGGATAGAGAATTTTCAACGCCCACAAGTATAATACACACTAAAATGGAAGCAAAGAAATAATAACCCAACTAGAGTGCAACATGAGATGAATGAAAGGGCCAGTGTTGACGGAGGAAAAATCACACAGAGAAACAAGTAAAAGGAGGGAGATACCTCAGAAATTTAGTTTAGCGGAGTAAACATGGCCCAAACACTCAAACGTGGTTATTTGTGTGTGTGGATCATTACGAAAATACGAACTGTCAACATTCGTAAAGTGTGAGAAGAGTCGACAAAGCTGTACAGAAATAAAAGGCAGGGGAAATTGGATAGGAGGTCCAACGGTTTGAGGTAATGGGCTGAACATAGGAACGTCCTTAGACTGGGAAAGCTTTCTGCTACTTAACCGCTAGAGCTGACTATCCACTCTTCATAGGTGGTTAAAGCACAATCCTGACTTGATCGAACGAAGAACCCCCAGTCATTCCGCCAGCTGATCAGCATTTCAATGTCATACTTTAACTTTAACTAGACCAGATTCTACAACAGTATCGGATGCAAGATAGGGGAGATGGCCAATGGACAAGCGAAGAACGTAATGTGGCCGGTGTGGGTGATTCCAGTTGAAAATAGAAATTAATTCGTGGCGGTGCAATTCGCCTGCCCGGAAATCCGTATCGTGTTCGGTGACATCAGCGGCTAGAGGACTAAGCAGACATAGGGCAGCCAAGTTAATAGTGCCTCTGTTAACAGTGAACTGATCAGTTTTTTTAATCGCATAACTACCAAGCGTCTTCAAGCACAATCTGCCTCGTAGCATCAGATGGTTGTAACATAACAGACCTTACTCAAACTAGTGAAATGTTTTACAAATATTTCTGCGCCTTCTTCAACATGGATAGTGAACCCATATGCATGGTCCTACAACCGGTCACAGTCGATCACCTTAACTGTATCAGAGTTGAGCTCCAGGTGCAAAAAATTTGGTTTCCCGAGAGTTCAGGGAATATTCTCCTAGGAGTTCCGAAATTTGGCGGGGATGACATCCCTTACCATTACTGAGTACGTGCAATCTACCTATGAACACCGGCATCATGCCAGCTCAGTGGAAATTAGCAATATCTGTGGCACGACATAAATCACGCTCCCTGTTCGAGTCTAGAAATCACCGCACACTAGGCCACACATCTATCTTATCAAAAATGTTGGAGCGACATATCAAATCGAGTTCTCCACTTTCAAGAAAGCTAAGAAACTAGTCTCAATACAGCAGCTGAAATAATCGGTCTTGTATGATATTGCACCTGGAATTTCTAAATCATATGACTGATTCGAATGATCTTGGTATGTAGGTAATTCTAATTTACTTCGACATGCACAAGGCACTTGATCAGGTGACTCATTGAAAAGCAACAGCTAAAATGATGTACAACGGGATCGATGAATCCATACTTTCTTGGTTCAGGTCATACGTTACAAACTGATTATATGTGGTATAAGTTCAAGAACACAAGCTTGAGCGTACACCTGTCACCAGCGGCGTGATACAAGACAGTGTTCTTGGGTCGCTACTATTCTTAATATATGCTAACGATATGTTCGACGGCGCGTGACCGAAGTACAAGGCGTCTGCCTTGCAATGTGGAGGTCGTGGGTTCGAGCCTGCGTACGGGACCGGGCGACTCAAGCAGTATCCTTAAACCATGTGTGGCTGTTGGTGGCCAAGTAGCAGCGAAGCGTCGGTACGGCATACCGGCGTAATGCTGATGCCTTCTAACTTCGGTGTAGTAAAATTTGGCACACCATAGCTGTTTGTCGATAACATCAAAATCGAATAGATTTCGTCCGGATGCCTCCAATGATGCTGTCAATATGATTCAACTTAATCTCTATGCGCTTGAAACTTGGTGCTCAATGTGGAAAATGGCTTTCTCTGCTGACAAATGTTGTGCATTGTTTCACAGGTGCAATTTGACTCACAGCGGCCTGACTGCTGAACGTAAACGACTTAATTTTCGTCCTATAGTAACAGACAAGAGCGCGATATTCATTCGCACTTGACTTCTGTGAGCAAGTAGGAGGCTGCGTCAAAGCGAGGGCTAGAGAGAACACTGGATTGCTATTTAGGACTTTTTCTTTACATGAGTAAACAGTTGTACGACCCACGCTGGAATATTGTTCTATGGTGTATAGCAGCTTAAAAAAGCGCGAGCGCCTTGCACTGGAACAAGTTCAGAGAACATTGACAAAATGTCTTCTAGATGCTACTTCAAAACTGGAATATTGTACACGATGTGATAGGCTCAAGTTTGATCCAATACAGCTACGGCGCATGAGACATAACCTAGTTATATTTTTCAACATCTTGCACAGAAGTATACGCGATTCCCACCTTGATATGAATTAGATACAATCAGCCATCTACAAGACACACGAACAAAACTCAGTGGTCGATTGCAAGTCTAGGTCAGCATGTCTGAAATCTTGAAAGATACGCCAGATCTGGAACAAGCTACCACCCAGAATACGTGCCTGCACACTTTAACACGAATATCACATCAGCATCAAGAAGTCCTTGAATGTATAGAACGTAATCAAACTGTCTGATTGCTCTATGATAACAAGCAGGGTGCCGGTTTTATACGACCCAGTTCATATTTCTCCTGGGAGACAGCTATTTTCCAATTAGGTATGTGAGGGAGTGGTTTAAAATCAAGGAACAGCGGACCATTTCAGTCAAACATTTCATGTGTGATTGTTGTCCTTCCAAACATCAATATCTGACATGATTTTCACTTTTCCAGTGATCTACTTGTGATCAAGTTTCTACACAAGTATGCATTGATGCGACCAAGCCGATGTAAGCATATCTCACATTGTTGAGAACAAAAGTTTATTTATTTATATGTATTAGTACAATTTATCTTATCCGATTGATTGTGTGTTTCTATACAATTTCGCTAGCAGAATTTTCACAATTGCTGACTTTCATCGTTGTGGTGAAGCGAGTCACCCCAATAAGATGCTTAAATCGTTTGGCCCAATATAGGGTTGCAATAGAAAAGTCTGGGGTGAACATAAGCACTTCCATCTCGATTTTTTCTGGCGGATGACGATCTTACGTGTGGATTAATGTGCAAACAACACGAGCAGATCTTGCATGATTCAAAGCTAAGTTATAATTTGTCTGATGTATATAGCAACAGTGACCACAATGTGACCGTGCACGCGATAGCCCTGACTAATAATTTAACACTACGCTGTCTCCACACATGACTGAGGCTTGGAAAAGTCATATGAACCTTGGGGATGTAAGCGGTGACAATCTTGGCGATTTCGTAACCGGATAAGGAGCTCTACATGGGCTAGTAAATCGCTAGAGCTCTCCGAGTGAATGTGGCATAATGATGGGGATTGATGGTGTATCAGTCCAGTCTGACGACAGCGTACGGCAGGCTGTGGAGTGTCTTGCAGTGCTGAAGCATTAAAGGGCATCAGCAGTACACTGTACATACGCTTCGCTGTCACAAGAACACCAAGGTTCTGCGCGAGTTACAAATACTACCAGGTTGTCCGCATCAACGCAGATTTTAAGTAGTGATCTTTGGGCTACCGGTTCGAACGCAGAAACCACCCGAGTGAGAGCCGAACAACCTCGTAACGCAAGCAACCAGACGTAGATAGAATGGTGGGAGGTGTACATGAGTAAGTAACAGTTCGAAGTGGACAGAATTCGGTAACAATGGGTTGGTGGAGTGAGGAACGTTGGCTAAAAAAGACACTTGGGATAGTCACACGCGGTTGCATGAACCTCGCTTGTAGATAAGCAATCCGTAGTGAAACAATACGAACGAGGAAGCATGAAGGCGCAATAAACCGGAAAAAGCGCACTTTAGCAGGAAAATGTACGGTAGTGCAATCTATAAAAGCAGTCGCTGTATGGAGTGCAAATAGGAGAAAATGCGCCGTAATCCAATGTCGAATCTGTCCCGGAAGCGACAAAACCAGCCACACCAGCAAAATGACGTTCTAATCCTCATTACGGCCCATGGGGTGGATGAAAAAAATCAATGGTAGCTTCCCATGTAGGAGGACTACAGCGGTCACAAATGGAGCGAAATGGAAAACATCACGGTGTGGGAGTTCAACTGACATTAACAACCAGTTGTAAAGTATCCGACGAGTTGAAGTTGATGGGAATTCACAAATTGATGAGTCGATTCACAGAATAGTAAAAAAAGTCGGACTGCATCAACCATGATCAACGGGGGGAAGAGGATTGTGTCAAACGAAAGCAATCACAGTTACACATGTTAAAGCAACTAGGAAAACTGCTGAAGAGGGTTGATCAGGTCTGTATCAACACTGGCGATTGACAAAGACACAAGGGTGACTGGTAAGGAGAAACGAAGGCGCGTAACAGATAAAGCGCAAGTTGAGATAAAATTGAAGTCAGTCATGAGGTTGATAGGGGTGACCGAAAAGAAGACGGTTCCAAGCAGAACATGGGACACTGTGCCAGTGAACGAATCAACGACCATAAGTAGCGTGTACCATATGAGAGTTATGAAGCGGCTGACGAACACTAACTAAACGGTGAAAGCGGTATCAAATTAACCATCTTCATTGATGCACAACAGTAAAGCAGACGTGAATTTGTGTCCTCTGAGATCTAAAATGAAAAAAATGTCACGAGAAGAAAGAGACTAAGAGCGCAGCTTCCTGTAAGGGCTTATCGATTTGATTCAATCACATATTTGTGCGCATAGCGCGACAAAACCCGTCAGAAAGGAGGCAGAGGTGAGACCATGACATACAACAGCATGCACTCAGTAGTTGCAGAGAGGTCAAAATGCATAAGGGCGATGCAGAATTGAAACGCAACAGAGCGAAAATATCAGTGGGCGGAGAAAACAAAAAAGCATGATAGAGTTGCCAAATTTTTGGCCGGTATGGCTATAAAAATCAATGACAACTGGACGCGAGGCTTAATCACAACGATGCTAAAGAAATGTCAAAATGACGGGCTAATAGCTTTGATTAGCATGTGGAGAAAGA